AGAAAAAGAAAAAAGTGAACAGCCAAGGCTGTGAAAGGTAAGCTTTGTAAGATAAAAAGGGTCAGGTTCCCCCTAGATCCCCCAATTGATTTTTCCAGATAACTCTATGGGCTGGCAGGAAGCTAAAATCTGATACAAAGTGGTAACCAGAAATTACGCCTGGTCCCTTTGATTAAAAAGGGTTCTTTGGGAGAAGAGTGATAGGGGAAACTTGCACTCAGACCATTTGATGTCATCCTGATCTCACTAGATGTTGAGACAATACAGAATATTGGGTCTTAATTTCAGATCTTACACCATAACTTAGCATTAGCATCTAGAATGTGCCTGACAAATTCAAAGAGAATCTAATACTATCCTAGACCTCCCATGACTCCCTTAGTGGCCACAGTCTCAAATCCTATGAATGCTCCCTACCTGGATTCATTCTTTGGCTCAGACTTAAGACACACAAAATTATATGTGCACCTTAGAAACCCATGGCTCTATTCTACTTCTGTGCTACATTTGCTGACCCATCAGCAGTCACAATCTTCCTCTGTCCACCTAACTCCACTGAAAGCCTAGCTCCACTGGTCAGCCACCCTAGGCCTAGTGACTCTCTTTGCCTTTGGCATCCTTCAGGCTGAATGAAACACTCAAGTATCATCAAAGTCATCACAAAATCATAGTGATTCTATAGAATGGTGAATAAGTACCAGGTCTTGCCTGAGCACTCTTCTGCCTCAACCAAGGCCTCTGCATCCATCTCACATCTCCTTCTCCCCTGAGAGCTTATTCCACTTGTCAAACCATCCTGTCCAATAATCCATGGCCTCTAACCTCCCTTAGTTGTGTTTGTAAAACCCAATACCATCACCCAGGTAACCAACCAAGAGATCTAATCCTCAGCTCAGGAATTACTGTCTACTTCCTGGCCCCCTAATAGCTGTACCACCATAACCTAAAGATTAACCCTGCTAAATGTGATTCATAGCTTACTCACCTTGATCCACACAACTACTATATTTAAAATATCTCTATCCTGAGGCCAGGTGTGGTGGTTTACGGCTGTAATCCTAGGATTCTGAGAGGCTGAGGAGAGTGGACACTTGAGTTCAAGAGTTCAAGACCAGCATGAGCAAGAGTGACACTCTCGCTCTAAAAATATAGCTGGGTGTTGTGGAAGGTGCCTGGTGGCATTTTGCAGTCCCAGCTACTCAGTAGGCTGAGGCAAGAGGATCACTTGAGCCCAAGAGTTTGAGGTTGCTGTGAGCTATGACACCAATGCACTCATGCACTCTACCCAACGTGAAAGAAACTCTGTCTCAAAAAAAAAAGTCTTCATCCTGAACCACGCCCCAGATTTCCAGACCTATCTGTTCTGTTGCTCAGTTAACATCTAACATCTCTGAATAGATATCTACTAATGTTTAGAGAAAGCGTCTTGCTTTTACCAAAGTTGGAGTGCAGTGGCAATCATGGCTCACTACAACCTTGAACTCCTGGGCCCAAGCAATCCCCCTGCGTCAGCCTCCCAAATAGGTTGATTTATTGATTTATTTTTGGTAGAGAAGGGGTTTTACTATGTAATTCATGGCATCAAGCCTCCTGCTTTGGCCTCCCAAAGTGCTGGGATTACAGATGTGAGCCCACTGCACCTGACTCAAACAAACTTTTAACACGATCAAATCAAAGCTTCTGATGTCCCCAATGAATTACTCCTTGTATCAACTTTTCTATCTCAGTTGTTGAAGCATATAGTCTTACAACTGCTAAAACAAAAGCTATAGGGTCATCTCTGACTCCTTTCTACTCCTTCACCATCCACATTAGAAAATTTAGTTGCCCTTATAAAAACCTGAATCCAGACAAGAATGCAACCACACTCTCCTAAGTCTCCAAACCCTAGGCCACCACCATCACTCACATCACCACCTTAGCTTCACATCCTGTCTCATCAACAGTGGCATTAGATTCTCACAGAAATGCAAACTGTACCATAAACGGTGTAAGGAATCTAGGTTACACTCTTCTTATAAGAATCTAATGCATACCTTCCCCCGCACCATGGAAAAACTGCCTTCCACGAAACCAGTCCCTGGTGCCAAAAAGGTTGGGGACCACAGTCCTAAGCCATGAGTCTGGCCCACTGACCCTTACCAGGACTATAGCAATAGCTTCCATCCTAAAATTCCTTTCTCCACCCCCCACTCCACAGTTGTTCTCCATGATGCAGATAGATACTATTAAGGCCTTGATAAAATTACCTCCCTATTCTGACCCAAACTTCCCATTACCTCCAGGACCCAACTTTTCTGGCAGCCCTGACTCCTTCCCTCTGCTTTGTTCTCCCCTAAAAGAAAAAAGGCCCATGGTTTCCTAAACATTCCCAACTCAGTTTTACCTCTAAACATTTGCACATCCTGGTACCAGTACCAGGGAAAACCTTCCATATCTGTTTATGCTCACTGCTGGTAATAGGAACACTTCCATAAAACCCTGACATGGAGTTAGGACCCTGGGCTTGAGAGTTTCTCCAAAGCGCTAGACCTAAAGATTGGGGGAATAGACTTTTTAAAGAGTACTAAGAACTAATAATCCAGAGAACTGGATGGGGGATGGGGCCACTGAGGGACTAGAACATCCTCCACTTCCGTATGTGGGTTCCATAAGCCCTTCTACAGCCATGGTAGCTGTGGAAAGAGGCAAACCTCAGAGGAATGTGTCCAGTGTAAGACTATAGTCTGAGGCCTCTGTGTACAATTACTTGGCTCTCAAACAGGTGAACTAAGAATGGCTGTCTTACTTCCCTGCCTCAGTGTTTACTGCCCTTTATAAACTGTAGGACTCGGAAAAAGATGCAACCTTCGGGCAGCGCCTGTGGCACAGTGTGTAGGGCGCTGGCCCCATATACCAAGAGTGGTGGGTTCAAACCAAGCCCCGGCCAAATTGCAACAAAAAAAATAGTCCGGCGTTGTAGCAGGTCGCTGTGGTAGGTGGCTGTGGTCCTGGCTACTTAGGAGAGGCAAGAGAATCACCTAAGCCCAGGAGTTGGAGTTTGCTGTGAGCTGTGATGTCAAAGCACTCTACTGAGGACGACAAAGTGAGACTCTGGCTCAAAAAAAAAAAAAAAGCAACCTTCCAGTGCCTCAAGGTCCTCATCACCCTTCCCTCTCTGCTCTTCCTTTGCAAAGTCTTTGGGAAAGAAAGTTTTAAAACCCTAGCATGGACGGTGTCCCTTTGTTCAAAACTCTCCATGGCTTTTCGTCTTCACAATGAAGACACAACACTGCGCCTGTTATTCAAGGAGTAACTCGGCCTCGTATTCGTTTGTTCCCTGCAGAAAACAGATCACAGGTTCTCCAAGTCTCCCCAGCTTAGTCGCACCTCCAAGCCTCTGCACGCGCGGGTCGCTCAGCCTGTCTCACTCTGCCAACCTCCTCCACACTGGATGTCAGAAATACGGAACCCACTGACGAGCGCCTCACTGTCCCGGACACCCAGGCCTGGGCTACAAGACGTGAGCGACGACCCTCACACAGGGCTCTAGGATTCCGCTGGGTGAGGACAGGCGAGGACCGAAGGATGCAGCACTTACCTGAGCCGCGTCCCTCGGAGTGGCCACAGCCATCGGGCCCTGTCGGAGAAGCGGGGCCGGGAGCGGCGGTCCCTATCCCAGGCCTGATGCCAGTCACTCGGGGAGGCGTTGCCGAGCCTCAGACCCTTCTGTGCAGGTGAGACAACGACTCCTATCGCGAGTTCTCAACTGCTTCACTTCACAGCACACCTCAGGATCTCCCGTGAGAACACGCCTCAAAAAACCAAAATGGCCGCCATGCCGAAGCCGCAAGAGGTCCCGCCCCCTCGTTGTACCATCCTTGGAAAAGGCTATTTTCTGAGGCCTCATTGGCTGAGACCCACTGCCGTTCAACGCAGAGCATTCTGGGTAGTGTGGTTCCCATTAGACACAGAGATCGTGGTTGAGGGTACTCTCTACCAACCTTCTGGAGTAAAAGTTGAACTCCAGGGCGGGGAGCGCTAGGTGATGGCTTTTCCAGGTCCCAAGTCAGAAGAGAGGCTTTTCCTTTTTTAAAATGGATTATAGGCTCGGCGCCTATAGCTCAACGGGCTAAGGCGCCAGCCACGTACACCTAAGGTGGCAGGTTCGAATCCCCAGCCCGGACCCGCCAAACAACAATGATGGCTG